AGAAACACTTCAATGTCGTCCCTTTGTCTACTGTAACTAACGGTGCTGTTTATTGACAGTTAAATGCAACGGTCACACCGGTTAATTTTTTTTTCCACCCTTTCTTGTGGGACTCACCCTTGTCACATCATCTCTCACACAAATTTTTTTGCCTTAGCCTGTACTTACTACTGCCTCCCCAATCCCAACGTGGATCCTGCATAAGGGAATTATGAAATTTACAATTGATAATTTTTAAATAATAAAATATAAAAATCTTATAATTTGAAAAGATAATAGATAAATAAAGATCACAATTTTATTATTAATCTATTTAAAAATTGTTTACCCCCATTTTTGCAAAAAAAAAAAAAAAGAATGATGCCACGTGTCATTCATGTTAGCAAAAATTTCATTGGTTGAAAGTTGTTGGAGTAAATCTCTATGGATAAGGTTGAGTGGTTATTTCCACAACTACAGCAGAGCCATTCTGTTTGTTGCGAACTTTTAGGAGGATAATTAGCAACACAAACAAACTAAACGGTTTGTTTCAGATATCACGCTGCCATTGGTTTTTCAAGATTGTTGCTGCAGATCTCCAAGTATGTTGTCAAGAGGTGTTTATTGCTATAAATATATAGAGAAGAAAAGGAGAAAAGGAGACCAATCTCTCACATAACTAGCCCAGCGTTATTTACATTTTAGTTTTACAAGCAATATCTAAATTTAAATCCAGTTTTTTCAAACAGCTTTCCTAATTTAGTCTTTAACTCTATGTTGCCATTAGTTTTAATTCTGATTTTTGTTATTTTATTGTGAACATCTCCACTTGATATATTTAGTTTTTCTTTTTTTTGCAATTCAATTTACTGCACTTTACCCCAAAAGTTCTTCTTACTAGCTTCTTTTAAGTTTAGTTTTACGTTTCAGTTTTTATTTCGTTTTCTACATTTTCATGCTTTCGCAGCAGTATCACGTTTCCTTTCTGCAATTTAGTTTTCCCGCCATGCATTCTCTCTCTTTTCCTTTCCTTTATTTTCCTCTTTTATTTTGATCAATAAACTAACTTTTCGACCCTAGTTGTGGGAAGTCCCTGATGGTATTCAAGGGCAATTATTTATGAACCTTTATGCAGGAATGCACCTCCGTTTCTGCGACAATCGTCTGACCAGGGCGCATCTCATAATTTATTTAACCGGTGCTCTTCTATCAACTCACAGCCGAGTTCCACGCTTGAAAGCAGTGAGGGTCACTGGGAATCAAGGTAGTATGTACCGTTTCGTACCGGTCGGTACGGCCGGTACGTACCGGTTTTCAAGCTTAGCCGAAACGGAATAAGTTAAAATTTCGTTTCGGTCAAATTTTGGCTGTACTGGTCAAATTTCAGTGTACCGGCCGAAATTTTGGGTACCGGCCGATACATCGAAATTTGACCGGTACATTATGGCTGAAGGGAAAAAAAAAAAAAGAATCCTCAGCCAAAACGACGTCGTTTTGGCTGGGGGCAGCTTCTTTTTCACTTCACCCTCCAATTTCAATCGTTCGTGCCTCTTCATCTCGGCCCTCTCCTTCAGCCTCCAGCCTTCATTAAACGCTGCACTTTCAGATCACGCCTCTCCTCTATTCTCTAGCAGTCCAGCATCCAACTGTCGTTGAGGCTTGAGCTCCACTCCTCGCAGGTGGTCCAGCCACTCCAGCCGCTGCCGGCGGTCCAGATCTAGCCACTACTCTCTCTTCCTCCACTCTCCAGCAACCAGCAGCCCAGCTCCATCTCAGGTATCTTCACATTTTCATTCCGAGTTTACTCTTTCTGTTGGTATTGGTAATCTTTCTATTGGTATTGGTAATATGGTATGCATAGTTGCATACTGCTGCTGGCTACATAATCCCCTGCCCGTGTATGAAAGAAAAAAAATTCAAATCATGCCCGTGTATAAAATAGAAATGCAGGTGTCTTGGACGGTTGGACCTCTTGGTATTTAGGCATAGTCCCCTGCCCGTATTGGACATTTGAATCTCATTTTGTACTATTGATTGCATATACCAGAATCTGATTTTTTTGGTTGGGAACTAAATAACTAATGCTGTGCCTTTAATTTTTTTGGTTGAATACCGAGTGCTGATTGTTGAATCATGAATGTCGAACTGTTGAGTGCTACTGGTGAATGTGCATTTCTTTAAGTAGTTTTGTCATTTTTAGATCCATTTCTATTTCTCTGCAGTTTCATGATTTAATTAGCAGGGTTGCTATGATATTTTTCATTTTTGTTGTGTAATTATTTGTTTTTTTCCTCGGGTTGTTTTTGTAGGATATCATTATGAATACTAGTGGTTCAGGGACTGCTACTGGTGATTCTATTGGATCTGTCCCTTCTAAAACAGATGATCCTGTTTGGGCGCATTGTTTGATTGTCCCAGGCAAGAGGAATCAAACAAAATGTCTATATTGTTATAAGTTTATACAAGGGGGTGGAATTACTAGATTGAAAGAGCACCTTGCTGGAATTAAAGGCAATGTTGGTGCATGCAAAAAAGTTTCAGCAGATGTAAAATGGCAAATGCAACAGTTGTTAAGTAAGATAAGGAAAGGGAAAGAAAAGAGAAAGAGACTTGGAGATATGGTTGGGAGTCAGTGTGGGTCATAAACATTTGTTGAAGAAGATGATGAAATTGAAGAGATCCCTCAATCTCAATCACATGTAGCACAACAAAAAAGGAATATTAATTCCTATTTTGTACCAAGGACAACTCCTGGAGCACAGAAAAGTATAAAAAGTGCTTTGCAATCAAAAGAAAAACAAGAAGCTGCTAGGATGGCTATTGCTAGATGGTGGTATGATGCTAATGTGCCTTTCCATGCTG